CAAATGTGGCAAAAGACACAATCCTACAGATTACAGAAGCTAAATGAACTCCAAACATGATAATTCCAAAGTAATCCACTCCCAGACTCAACAAAATCAAATTTCTAGGATTTGGTATTGTTTAGTGGGTATAGGATTTCAGTTTTGTATGATTGGTTGCACAACAGTGTGAATATACTTAATGTTAAGCTGTACACTTAAAATTATTAGGATGATAAATTTATATATTACAATTTAAGTTTTTAATCAAATTTTTGAAAATTAAAGATGATCTTTAAAGCAGCTAGTGAGAAATGAGCAGCTACCTATAGGGAGTGACTTACATGACAACAGATTTCCCATATGAATCTCTGGAAGCACACCTTTTATAAGCTCTCCCCCAAAAAAGAACTGTTAACCCAGAATTCTATACCCAGTGAAAATATCCTTCAGGCATGAGGGTGAAATCAAAGCAGTCTCATGAAAACTAAGAATTTGTCAGTAGCAGACCCTGAAAGAATGGCTAAAGGTAGTTCTTCAGACTGAAAGGAAATGATAAAGGGAAGCTTAAAACACCAAGAACAAAGAATGACATGAATTTACAATTTCTCCCAGAAGATAGAAGGGGAGGGAGACTACTTCACAATTATGAGATCAGTTAAATGCCAAAACCCAAAGACAGTGCAGAAAGTATAGAACAGCATCCCTCAAGAACATAAGTACAGAATCCCCAACAAAATATTAGCCAAAAAAAAAAGAAAAGCTGCAGCAACATACATATAAGAATTATATACCACAATCAAGCAAGTTTTATTCCAAGGTGAGACAGTATTCAAGAATCATTCAGGGTAGTGCAGCATAATAAAAGGTTGAAGAAGAAAAATCATATATTAGTGTAGAAATGCATTTGGCTAAATTAAACATTTGAAAAACTCAGCAAACTAGAAAGAGGAACTTTTGCAACTTGGTAAGAATGACAAAAACAGCTGGTGGGATGGCTCACGTGGTAGAGTGCCTGCCTTGCAAGCATGAGGTCCTGATTTCAAACCCCAGTGCTGCCAAAAAAAAATGTTGTAAGAGTGACAAAAATCCCACAGATATCATAGTGGTGAAAAACAATGCTTATCTCTTAAGAGCAGGAATAAGGTAAAGATGTCCACTCTCACAGCTGCTATTCAGCGTAGGCCTGGAAGTTCTTACCAGCATAATAGGCAAGAAAAGGGAATAAAAGGTATGCATTTTTTTCTATTAGGATATATTAGTTGTACAAAGGGGTTTTAGTTTATGACATTTCTGTACATGCATACAGTGTACTTTGATTTGCCCCAATTGCTCTTTTCTTGTCTCCCTTTCACCCCTTTTAGCCAATTATAATAGATTTCACTATTCTGTCTTCATACATGCATACAAAGTACTTCGATCATAATCCCCCCATAGCCTTTCTTTTTGCCGCCCCCCCATACTGGTGGTTCTCTCCAACTAGTCTTTTTATGGATAAAGAAACCACAACTCAAAGAGGCTTAGGGGCTTGCCCACAGTCTTCAAATCTACGCTGGCTAAGGTTCTATAGAACTCATGGATTATAAATACCAGAAAAACGTGACTTTTCCAGGGTCATACCAGTTTCTAGAAATTTAGTAGCAAAACATGTTTACTTTTTTGAGGAGTTGATGTGATTCAAAATGTATACAATCAGTGATATGTGAGAAAAATAAACTATAACTTTCAGAACATGTTGTATTAAAGAAAAACTGGTTTTCCCCACTTCTGTTATGAAATTTTATGAAGAGATAAATGAGCATAGGTAGATCCCTGCATGTCAACTCTAATGATGATGTAACAGCATTTCTAAGTACAAATAGTAGGAACGCTGGATTTGGACTTTGGTTCAGTTATTTTTTTTTCTGCAAACTAAATAGCTCAGTGATCTTGGATAAATGGTTAACGCTTAACTTTTTTTTTTTATCTCTGCCATGCATAACTATACACCTCATGATTTATTAGTAATTATTTAGGATTAAAAGAATATGTGTATCATGGCTCACACTATAATTTGAAAAATAGTAAATAAATGACAATTGTTACTGATTTCCTTGACCCAGTAATTATTTAGAAGAATATTAATTTCTTAGTGAGTGCTTTGTTTCCTTACTGAATTTTTTTTATCATGACCAGAAAATAAGTGTTATTTCTGCTTTTAAGAATTTTAGATTTACTTTATAGCTGGTCAGGTTTTATAACTTTTTCATAGATGCCTGAAAAGAACCCATAGTCTTAACATTATAAAATTCAATATTTGCCTATAAATATAAATTATTTAAAGTGATTTGTCCTTATTTTGTTCATTATGCAAGTTGATATTGGTATGCTAAAATTTTCACATCCACTTTGTTTCCATTTATTTCATGTTATAGCCCTAAAGCATCTGCTTTTGTGTTTTGAGGTTTGTTTAGTCTGTGACCAAATGTTTGGTACTATTATATATAAGCATTTGCTATTTTTGATGACTTCTATGTTTAAAATACAACATATGCTAATTGTAAAAGATCTAAAAAACTATGAAGCATTATTATTAAAAGATTTTATATGATCAAAAGTAGGGATTTTAGATTTAGATTTGAGTTTAAATGTGGACTGTACTTGTTAGCCTCGGGCAGAATATTAGACTTTTCCATGTAGTCAATAACTATTGAGCACCTACTTTATGCCAGGCATTTTGCCAGGGGCTGGGAATGAACTACTTAAAACTATTGATATACCCATCTTGGCTTAATTTCCTCATTTATAAACTGGTGATAATACCTCACAAAGTTGTTAAAAGCATCAAAGATAATTAATAGTGCTTAGTATTTGCCTGGTGAGTAAAAATTCAATAAATGATACCAATTTTATTGCTGTGCATATTAAATACTAATTATAACTTTAAAGAAAATGACCTTTTTGATCAGCTTAAGGTTTTTTCCTTTTTTTTGGCATTAATGTTGCAAACGCTTTCTTTTTTAAAATTAGTGTATACTAATTATACAAAACAATGAGTTTTATATTTTCTTTTTACTGTTCTATACTTACCCCTTTTGTTGGGATTTTTTTTTAGGTGGTACGGGGGTTTGAACTCAAGACCTTGCACTTGCTAGGCAAGCACTCTGCCACTTGACCCACATCTCTAGCCCTTTTTGCTTCGGAAATCTATTTTCGAGATAGAGTCTCATGTTTTTGCCTGGAACAGGCTTGGGCCACAATCCTTCTTACCTACATCCTCTCACATAGCTGGGACCACAGGCATGCCAAGATGCCCAGTTTATATGTTGAGATCAGGTCTCCTTACAACTACCATCCTTCTGATCGTCACCTCTGACAGTAGTGGGGATTATAGGTGTGAGTCATCACACACGCACACACACAAACACCCCGCCTAGGTTTCTTTTTATAGCAGTAAATAATTGCTTTTTATACTTTTTAAAAATAAAACCCAATTTTTAAAGTTTTTATTGTGAAACATTTCAAATACATACTAGAGCAGTGAGAATGTGTAATGAACTACTATGTTCCTATAACCCAATTTCAAGGGTTATGAACAACTAACCATTTTATCCCTATTTCCTCTTCCCTTCCCACCCACTCCCTTTTTCTCCCCAGCTCCAGCAGGTTATCTTGAAGTTAATCGTAGATACATAAGTCCAGATGTAAATATTTACATTTGTATTTCTTAAAAGAGAAAGACCTTTTAGAATACATTAACTGTCATTCATAAAAACAATTCTGTAATGGTATCAACTACCTTGTAAATTATTCTTAGATACTTTAAACTTCACTTTTATTTATTTATTTATTTGCAGCACTAAGGTTTGAACTCAGGGCCTCATGCTTGCTAGGTAGGCACTCTACCACTCGAGCCACTCCGCCAGCCCTTTACTTTTTTTTTTGATTCTCCTACCGCTGCCTCCCTTGAAACTGGGATTGCAGGCATGTACCACCACACCCAACTTGTTCTTTGAGACAGGGTCTTGTTAACTTTTTGTAGCTGGTATTACAGATATAAGCCACTTTACCCAGCTGAACTTTACATTCCTTACTTTATTACTTTTAGTGTGGTTTCTGTCGTTTTATGTATTCTTTCCTTGTGGGTTTTTTTCTCCTGTTGTATGGATTATTTTGTTTGAGGAGGTTGTGAAATATAGAAGAAAGAATTATGGAGCTGGAAAGACCTGGGTTTGAATTCTGCTTATGATGGTCACTAACTTTGCTGAGCCTTGGTTTCCTCCACTGTAAAGGGTAATTGTCCTTACTTCATGTTCTTAGGGTTGAATATGATGCCTGCATAAAGTACTATCAATAGTATCAGCAATTTAATATCTTTAGTGATTTGGACTGTAATAAACATCTATTCTTGATTATTATATGGTTTTCAAAATATTCCAAAATTTATTAGATAATCACTAAAAATAGTGGTTGCTAAATAACCTTTTAGGAAAGATAGAGAATTTAGAATCTTTCCTTCTCCTACCACCTCTTTTGTTTTGAGTCCATATTTAGCCTTGAGGTTACAAATCTTACCTTTGTAAAGTGCCTCTTCTTTTACATTGTTTAAATGCTTATATTGATTATTCTTCATTATTGACCCTTTTCCTTTAGTGGGATATCTTATTCAATTATTTCTAGATACTAAGTAGGCGTCAGTATACTCCCAGTTCTTTCCTACTTCAATATTCTTGAGCTTTTTAAATTCTCTTCTGATGGTCTAGAATGTACCTTTGGACAATTCATTTTTAAAAGATACACTATCAGGATGGTGATATTTCATAAGACTTTGCAGATCTAAGAGTAATTTCCTGTGACCTTTGTATATGAAAAACTAGGGTGAGGTATAAAATTCTTAGATCTTAACTTTTTCCCTTTCGACTCTCTGTAGGTCATTACTTCATTGTCTTCTGGCATTTTATTATTGTAGAGGAGAAATCTGAGGTCAAATCTGGTTTAGTTCCTTTGAAATAACCTATTTTTTTCTGCTTGTATGCTTGTAGGATTATATCTTTATCCTTGAAATTTAAAAACATTTGCCAGGACATGTCTTGGTGTTGATGATCTCTGTTGAACCTTCTCAGTCTACAGTCTCAGGTATTTTTTTTTCAGAACTGGAAAGTTTTCTTATGCTTTTGATTGATTAAACTGCTCTATTTTTTTTCTTTAGGAACATTTGTTATTCATAGATTATTTCTGTGTGTGTCTTCCATAGTTTATTTTTAATCTTTTTTTTTCATTTACTCAAGTTTGTCCTCTGTGGCATGGATTCTGTTTTCTTCAGTGTTTGTTCTAATACTTGCTATTCACAATACAGACTTAATTTTGGCTACTGTGTTTTCATTTATTCTTATCTCAACATTTCTTGTTTCATAAACAGAAATCCCCTTAGAGGTACACGTCAAAAAAAACAGGAGGTGGGTTCAGGCCAAAAATTTATTTTCTGAGGCCACCACAACAGGACCAGAAAAAAAAAAAACTGAAGTTTCAGAAAGGGTCCTTATAACTTTAAAAATATAGATAGAACCAGAGATCATTCCTACCCTAGTCTAGAAAATAGAACAGTCTTGGGTACTATTAGGTCTTTAGTAACTAGAGAGTTAACAAAGCAGGCATAAGGGCACTGTAACTAGAAATAAGCTGATTTTTCTAATTCCGTTTATTGTTTTTTTCTCTTTATAAAAATAATATATAACAAATGCATAGATTTTGGAAAGAGAGTACAAAGAAGAAAATCCTATGGCTCAGGTAACTACTGATAAGATTTTATATGTTTTGCCAGTTACATGCACCCATGTTGGGAGGGAGGGTGCAAAATTGGGGTCATACTTACAGTTTTATATCCTTTTTAATTTATTATATTGGAAGCATTTTAGCATCATTAATTTTTTTGTTGAGGCCCTGATTTTAACCATTGCATAGTATTCCTACATATGAATAGATGTATTATGATTTATTTAACCAGTCCCCTGTTGGTCATTTAGATTGTTTTCTATTTTTCAGTATAATGAGTATGATGAATATCACTGTACATAAGTCTTTATGCACATCTCTGATATTTCCTTAGGATAAATGAGGAGCTGATTCTTAATCCTGTCACATTGGTAAGGATTATATACATTCCTTATTAAGAATATAAAATGCTTGTTTCTTACTGTTTCAATGTGATTGCATAGAAGATTTTTTGGATTCTAAACAAGACAATGGTATCTTAACCAAAGTTAGAGAGAGGTTTCTAATGCCTCATACTCAGCACCTTCATGATGGAACTCCCATTGGCATATACTTAGGCAGGAAAACCATATATCAGGGAGTTTGGAAGGCAGATATGCTTGTGGAAACTTGAGGGCGTTTTAAAAGAAGTGTGATCCTTGCTCATTCCTACAACCTGGGTCTCCATATTAACACACTATGGCTCTGGACCCTTTCTTTTCCTTCTCCCTTCCTGTTATTTCAGACTGTTATTCTCTGTGAGGAATCCTTTTATCCCAATGTTCATATGTACATTTCATTTCTAGATAACAGAATGTCAGTACTTGGTATGTCCTATAAAGGTAAACATCAGATTTTATCAATCACAGATCATTTCTTAGCCCTAATATACTTGCACATATGATCTCCTGTTGGACTCAAAGAATTTTTAACTTATTTTTTATTTTTTCAGAGGTATCAGACAACAGCTTGGGAATCTGCATTGTAACATGCCTTTATAAACAAAGCAGTCTGCATAATAGGGTTGCTTTAAATGAACTTTTTAATTAAGAAAATATTCTTATTTGAAACATGTCAGCATTTCCCTTAACACACTTGGGAATGTCCTCAGATCGTAATTACTGATTGAATTGTTCTTCTCTAAACTTAGAAGTTTAAGTGATAATTTTATACAACATTGAAAGTTATTTTGAAAACAATTCCTGCTGGAACCAAGTGAACAGTCTCGTTTATCTGATTTTTCTGATGAGACTCATATTGTAGGTTATTCCAGTTTGTAACTTTTTATACATTTCAGACTAACAAAACAAAGCATGATTAGTGTTTCCTAACCTTTTCCAGTATTTCACATCATATTTGCTTATGTACAGTCTGCCAAGCTCAACATGTTTTCTGGCTGATGGCATAAGATGAGAGAAGATTAATGCATTTACCTCACCTTTTAACAATTTTTTGTCCATATTCATTCTTTAGCCAAATTGTATAGAAATGTAGAACACATATGATTGAATTCTTTTACCCTGCTTGGCAGGAAACTGACTGCAGTAAGATAAAACGGACATCTTTCTAATACTTCTTTGTTGCATTACATCTTTAGAATTTATCTATAAAAATGTAAACATTACACAGTCAATTGAAGCAAAAGAGGAGCATTTACTGTCCCTTGTAGATACTTCTAATTACAACATTTCTGTAAGATAATAATTTTACACGTTATGAATGGAGAACCTGAGGCTTAAAATGTTAAATAACTTACCCAAATTCAGATAACTTTACCAGTAAGTGACAAAGCTGGAGTTTAAACCTAGTACTGGCCAGCTTCAGAATACATGGGTTTTTTTTTTCTGTTTTTTCCTTAAAATTAGAGAAATAGATTTTCTAGTTTAATAGGTACTATTCCTTGAACTTCATGAACCATAGAAAGTACATACAGAGTCAAACTGCTGATCCTTTTAACCTGATCTCTAGTGAAAAAACCAGGGGTCATTCTCAAAAGGAAAATTTAAACTTCTTAACTGTAGAAATAACTTTATGCTCATTCATTCCTAATAGATAACTTTTGATTCCTTGTTTTGGTGAAATAATAAAAAAGGTTCACATTGAAATAAAGGTCCTTTTTGACAAGAAAAGTTTTTAAGTTTCTCTGGTACGTAGTATAACATTGGATTTCATATTTTCCTACTTTACAAATTAAGTTCAAGATTTTAAATCTTTGCTAAACACAGGAAGTAGAAATTTTTTAAACAATAGAGAATAAAATACCTTTGAGATCATGTTTTATTTAATCTCTTTCTTATATTACTTTATTTATGTAAGCTATTAGCTGAATAGATCAGAAAAGAAAACAAATACTGTAAAATTTGTGGATGGCATGAAGCTGAAAATAGAGAACAGACTGACAGATGCCAACATCCAATCTATAGACACTAGCAATGGATCAGAGCTGGGAAAAGATGAGTCAAAAATTTGTAATAAGACTTTATTCATGGGACTAAGATTAACAGCAGCTACAAGATAGAGAATGCAGGGCTTAGTTGTAGTGTAAGTACAGAAGACAAGGATGAAATCAACAGAAAATTTTAGAGTCAACAGTGTATTGTGGGCATACCAAAATAATGCATTGATATAAGTTTATTATTTAGGACAAGGGAAATGAAATGCCCTTTACTTTGTACTGGTCATACAAGGGTTGGAATGTTTAATTGCCTGCAATTCCATATACCACTCTTTAAGATGAATCAGAGTGTGCTCAGAAAAAAGATTGATGAGACTCATCTGTCTTAAACATTTGAAGAAATTTGAGTTATCTAAAAAAGATGAGACTCAGGGTGATTTAAAGTTATAGATGTAGATTTACTTTCTATGACTTTGTAGATAGCTAACAGGCAAGTTAGTTTTCATTTATTAGTAATCCTCTCAAAGGGAATTTGTGGCTGAGGAAAGTTACTATGTAATGAAGAATTTTATCTAGCAGCAGTGCTTTTTCTGTAATACTAGTAGGCTAGGACTAGTGAGTCCAAACTGTTGTCCTGATGGTATTCTAGTATAGGTAAGGACAGGGTAGAAAAATTGAAACACATGATGTGTAGTTGGAACAGAAGACTTTTGAGATCCCCTACTGATCCTAATTTTTTTTTCTAATTCTAAGAACAAAAGAACTTTATAGAATATCATCTTAATAATAGTAATTTGCATTGTTACAGCTCTTTACAGTTTCTAAAATGCTTTCTTATGCGTTATCCCAGTCTTAAGCCAAATAACAGCTGTTTGACTAAACAGGGAAAATATCCCCACTTAGAACATGTAGAGCATTAGGCTAAGAGAAAGTCTGAATTGCCCCAAATTATAAAGCTAAGTGGCAGGCCTATGGCTCCATCTCTGGTCTACCAGTTCCAAGTTCAGTGCTATTTCTTCCGTACCAGTTTGCTTTAAAAGTAAATTATAAATTGTGATGCTTGTTTTACATACATTGAAAATTGCAAGGAGCAGCTAGTCCTCAATTTCAATTCCCATGGAAAATGTACATGTAGCTCAAGTCAGACTGGCACTTCTGAAAACCATATAATGTTGAGCCACTAAGCAGATCTGTGTGTATAACTGCATGTAATTAAGGAGAAAATCTAATTTAAACTAGTAGATGAATGATGGTGCCATTCACTAAGATAGAAAATACAGGAGAGGTAGCAGGTTGGGCCACAGGTGAAGTGATTGAATTTTGGACATAAAAATAATTAATATCGATCATTTACTAAGTGTCAAGTATTGCACTTAGGGTTTTATATCATTTATCTTATTTTGTCTTCACAACAACCCTCTGAAAATAAGACTTTTTAAATCTTTAGTCTCCATATAAAGAAACTAAAAATGTAGTTTAAACAACCTGAGTCTCCATAATTCGTAGTGTAAGAACAGGATTTTAAGGAAGGAAGGAAGGAAGGAAGGAAGAGAAAGGAAGGAAGGAAGGAAGGAAGAGAAAGGAAGGAAGGAAGGAAGAGAAAGGAAGGAAGGAAGGAAGGAAGGAAGAGAAAGGAAGGAAGGAAGGAAGAGAAAGGAAGGAAGGAAGGAAGGAAGGAAGGAAGGAAGGAAGGAAGGAAGGAAGGAAGGAAGGAAGGAAGGAAGGCCATTTAAAACCCTGGCCACAAGCCTGCAGCAGAAATCTTAGAATTTGGGTAAAGAAATGACCTTAGACTGTTTCATTCTGTTGTAAATAAAATCTGGGATTTAATCTTCTCTTATAATACATGGGTCTATCAACAACTGGGCTTTCTATAAATTTTTTTATACAAAAAAATAGTTTTAAGGTTGCTTGCTTTCTGTTTTTTATGCAAATATAAGGCTTTAAGTTAAAAGGTCTTATGAGTTATTTTCAACAAGTAACAAAGAAATATAAA